AAAAAAAAAAAAAAAAAAAAAAAAAATATATATATATATATATATATAATAAGATAAAAAAAAAAAAACCCAACGCACCATGAAATTTTCTGTGGAAGGGGACAGAAGACTGCCTCCACTGCCCGCTTAAGTTCCTCAACAGTGGCTGTTTTTGCAACTTCAACACCTATAATGGCGTAAACAATAATCCATTACCGAAATTTATACGAATTAAAACCTCAATCCACACAATTGAGGGGCTGATATAAAAGAAACTCAACCATAACCCTAACCCTAAAACTGTTTACTAAGTTTTTCCTTCTGAATCTGGTTAAGAAACAATTACCGAAGGATGAGCCGTCGAGTTTGAGAATGGAGAGCTTCAGGGGCTGCTGAGGAAGCTTATCGTAGGAGAGAGAAACACTCTTCCGAGAAAGGCCATTTATGAGCGAGAGAGGAGACAAGGGAAAAGCCAGAGATCGTCGATGCGTTTCGAGCGAAAAGCGAGGAGAGGCGAAATCGTCATCGCTGGTGCAGACCCTGCAACGAGCCATTGCGCTCAGCGTTGCCGAATCCACAATCCATTGTCCTCAATCTTATAAATATATATCTACTCAAGAGAGAGAGAGAGAGAGAGATTCCTAAGAGAGAAAAACACGCATCAGCATTGGTAATTGTGATTTGTGATGTGAAGGAGGAGCTTCGAAGCTCTCTTTTCTTTTGGTGCTTGTGTCGGAGGCAATTCCTCAGACGGTTTGAGCTTTTCTTCCCTCTCTTTCCATTTTTTATTCACTATAAAAATAAATATATAATCCAAATAAATGGATTATTAAAAAGATTTATTTCTTGTTTGGGAAATTTTATGGTTCATCCTCATTTGTGTTCCTAATAGAGTAAAGAGACGTTTAGTTCATAAATTAGAATCATGTGATTAGAATTATTTTTAATTTATGTGTATTTTTTATGAGAGAAAATACTATAAAGAACTATGAACTATTATTCAAATCATGGTTTAAATCTTCCAACCAAACATCCCCTAAGTGTTTTTAACTATTAAATTAAATTTTTTAATGATTAAATTTATACATAATTATATTAAAATTTACAACGCGCCACATAAAACTATTTTTATTACAGATCTAACCGTTAAAAAATTAATCTAATAATAAAAACACTTACTCCTATCAGTGCGTCATAATTTTGAGATCCACCGTAAAGAATTAGATTTTCGTTGCCTTGAGTTTGCTGTTTAGTCGTTCAGAATCGGGGCTCTTGTTATTATTATTTTTATTTACTGAAGAAAATAAACAAGAATAATATTTTTTTAAAAACAGAAAATAAATAATAAATAATGAACCTTATTGTTAGATTTTCGCTTCAATTCTCTGTATTCTGTCATCTCCATTCTATCCTCGTTGCACCTACTTTGTCGTTTCTTAACTTATTTCCATGTCGTTTTTCACGTCTTTTTCTCTATATTGTCGTTTTCATATTTTTGTCGTATCCTGCTTTATCATCGTAGCTATTTCGTTGACGTGTCTCAAACCTGCTGTCGTTTAATTCTTCGTTGTCCTTTTCATTTTGCTGCCGCTTCAGCTTTTATCATTTTATTCATGTCGTTTTTCTTACTTATCATTTGATTATTTTGTTGTCGTTTCTGCTCCAATTTTTGTTGTACATTACTATTGTCGTTTCACAGTAAAAATATGTAAAAATTTTAGTCATTTTTCTCTTTTGTTGTCCTGGTCCATCTATACAGTCATTACTCGTTTTCTTGATTTGCTGTTTCTTACAATATTGTGGTTGCGTAGTTTATCACTTTTTTTTTCGTACATTGCCGTTTATAAATGTCAACTTCGTTGTTGTTTTCCGAAGTCTCCGTTTGTTTGTCGTATATCATATTATTGACGTTTCATATATTCTGTTGTTTTCTCATTGTTGTCGTTCAGTTGTGTCCTTTGGCTGCGTGAATTTTGTCATCATTTCTCCTTGATTGTCGTTTTTGTATTTCTTATTTTGGAATAAATCAATGCTTTGCTTACGTTGTCGTTTCTCACGTCATTATCATTTTCAATGTCGTTGTCGTCTATCTTCTTATAGGTCATTCATTTTGGATTATTTCACAGTTTATTTATGCATGACTTTCATTTTTTCACACTTCTCACTTAGTTTCATCTTTATCGTCGTTTTTAATTTTTTATCGTTCCATACATTATCGTTTATTATGTCCTCTGACAGCTTCATTTTTCTGGTCGTTTCTGTTTGGTTGTGATTTGTATTTTATTAACTTTTTTTTTTTTTTTTTTTTTTTTTTTTTTCTGAGTCCAGTAGATGATGTCAAACTTCAACACAACATCATATTTTGCTCTCGTCAATCCTCAAACCCCCAGCGGCATGCAAAAGGTCTATCACTCCCTCCACAGGAGGCGCAATGCAAGACCGGAAAGCCACATTATTCGCCATTGTTTTGCTCCGCTCCACGGCATTTCAAAAAATCCTCTGATATGAACGCTAACAACGATGCTATTCAGGATCAGAAACTTCAACATCATATTTTGCTCTCGTCAATCCCCAAACCCCCAGCGGCATGCCAAAGGTCTGTCACTCCCTCCACAGGAGGCGCAATGCAAGACCGAAAAGCCACATTATTCGCCATTGTTTTGCTCAGCTCCACCGCGTTTCAAAAAAATCTCTGATATGAACGCTAACAACAATGCTATTCAGGATCAGAAACTTCCCTGGAGATGCAAGTTTTGAGTACTATTATCACCAAAACAGAAGAATGGTAATAGCTATAACCAAGCTTCAGGTCAAATTCGATCAAACCCAGAGGAGAAACGCAACTAAACCGAACGAGATAGCTTCTAAAGAATGAACACAGCCTTTAGCATGTTCCATTTGTTTTGTTTGTAGTGCTGAAATGCAAAATGAGATAACAGTAACCAAAAGTTGGTTAAGTAAACAAATCAAACTTATCAGTAGGTTATCATTTAATTAGAATATGGTATCGAGAATGTAACTTTTACAACAACCGTACTCAACAATTCTAATTGCTATTCGTTTCTTGATAACTATTAGCATTTGATGTCAAAGGACTCACGGGGGTTAGAAAACAACCTCCTAAACAACATTGCCAAGCAGAGTCTCCTATACCGACATATTAAAGAGAGAGAGTGGGGGAAAAAAAAAGTTGCTTCTATGCAGTATTGGTTTCTAAAGTCACCAATCTAAAACTAAGTCTGTCTTTTCCTAGAGAAACAGGATCAGGGGCTTCTCACTTGGCAGAAATATCCTGTGTGTAAAGGCATCAATATCAACTTCCATATTCCACAAGCCAAGAACCATGATAATCGCCAGCAGAAGATGAAGTTAATCAATGTCAGCCGTTGATCATCTCCAATTGAAATAATTATCCAAGCTTTAGAATTACTTCCCTACGAGCTTATAGTATGCATACAACCCAGAGCCAAGGAAACCGAGGAATTGCCCAATTATGTTAAACTACAAGAAGATACGCACAAGGTTCATTCACAAGAGTGAAAGCAAAAATTGCGGTACATCAAATATACTACCAGATTGAGCAGTTTAAAAGAGAGAAAAGTTGATACTCACTAGGTCAAATGGAAGCCCGCCAAATAGCATCCAGCCAAGGCCAATGGTAAAAAAATCCTATAACATCACAATAACCAAAAGTTAAAGAGTTGGAAGTTCTTTTATATTCAGTATACACAATTCTGTTGCGGAAAGCAGAGGACAAGGAAGATGCAAACTGCAGACAAACCTTCAGATTACCACAAATTGTCTGCGTGAGTGCTGAATTTAGCGTTGTGTTAAGAAATATACTGTAGTTCAAGAAGAAAGCGAGAATACAGGAACAAAGCAACACAGCCTGCGCAAGAAACAAGCAAAGTTTAGCAGTAAACAGAAACTTAGAAAACATTCCAGAAGCTTTGGTCAACTTTCTGAGCATGAAGTCAACTGTGTATGAAAAGAGCAAGTTCTATTTGGTGAAGAGGAAGTACCATAAAACCCGGAGAAAGAAGAAAAGGAAAATTGAAAGTTGCCTTCAAATCACCCCAAGTAAATGTCCATAACAGCAAAACTGGTCCACAAATAATTCCTGTTTACAGAAAGAGCAACGTTATTTTCTGTTCAGATATGCAATTAGATTTAACGGGGTTTTTCTCCTTGTGCGGGGAAATATCACAAAAAAATTCCAAAGGCATGGGTTACGTTAGAGGATCTATAAGCTTACCATTACACCACATAAGGCCAAAACTGTTGAGACCACTGGATTTCCCTGTGAAACAGCAAATTTTAGTTTATATTTGAAAACGGTGTTAAGCTAGTAAGTAGAAATGTAACGATTTTGTCTAAAATGAAAATTTAAAAGTACTACCAATACGGGCTATGGTTGCAAGGTATATTGCAGTGGTGATGTTCGACAAGAAAACAACAGAATAGCCATAGGCATCAAATGAGAAGTCCCGAGCTCCAGCAATAAATGCACCAAGAATGATCAATCCAACACTGATAACTTGGAATTTTCAGTTAAATGAGGGAATCAGATTCAGAAATATGGCCAGTTAAGCCAAGCGTCTACAAACTAATTTCAGCAACAAATAAAAACTTTATCAGGATTCTTCATATGCTACAGTTTGAACATTTTCATCAGTGTATCTATATTTGCAATAGGAAAAATCATGCATGAGATAGGAGGACAAGGAGGGTGGGAGGATGTCCATATTTTGTGTTAGAAACATAAATCTAATCTAACAGCATATGCAGGTCTGGCAACTGTGTAGCCCACACCAACTACCACCTAAAGAAGGGTCGCACAATAGTTTCCCAAGAGCATATTATCCACCTAATCATTCTAACTTCTCCATGTTTTTATTTTTCAATACCAAAAAATACAAAAGTAAAATTCCATTCATCAACAAAATAGGTCTTCATGCCTTTATCCCACGAGGATGAAAACCGAGAAAGTTTGGCATTCACAATAAAGAAAAAAACGTGCTATTATCTACAAATTTCTAACATCATCATACATACACAAAATGAAGCATAAGGGTCGTTTACCTTCCTACAATAGAAGATGTAAATCTTTGTCCCGCCAAAATGTACTCCACTATCATAGTAAATACCACTGTTGTCCTCCTGAGGGTGGTATACATGGGAACGTTTACTCCACGGACAGACTCCATGGTAGCTAGCTTTCAAGCACAAATTAAATAATGGGTGAATGTTAACACATATTACAACTAAAAGTCAAGTGCTCACATGTCATCAGCCAGAGAAATGTGTTTGCAATATTATGTCATGCATACCATGTAAAGCAAATAGGCTCCTGCAAGAGGAAGGGTATGCCTCACAGTCTTTAGTGGCACAAGTATCAAGGAATTATCAGGAACTGCCAAAGACTCGCCAACCGTGAAAGAAATTATCTTCGAGCGTCTTAATATATAAAGAAAACAACATGAACATATCATCTGCAGTGACATTCCAATTGAAGGTGTTCAAAATACAAGCCACATGGATATTATACATGACAGCTATACGAAAAAAGAAAAAAAAAATTAAGTTAATGAAATACTGTACAATGTATAAACTATCATCACGACAGAATTCCAATGACGTGAGAGCAGACAGAGGGAGACGAAAATATCATGGGAATTACAACAACAACAAAAATGAAGAATTAAAACCTAAACCAAAAGTCCCTAAAAAAAAAAACGCCTGGGGAATGGGAGCAGGTGGAAAGCTGAATGAGAAAAGACAAAAAATTAGTTAGATGTTTGAGTTATGATTCTTAGAACTATTGAACTATGATTGAACATATTTTGCGCCTGAACTAATCAAATAAAAGTTAAAGCATCGGAATTTTGAATTTTCTAAGCTCCCAAGTTGCATCCTTTCCCATTTGTTTAGCCAGTTGACCGCTATTCTTCCTGTATAAAGAGTTTCTATGCTGATGAAACAGCTTATAATCCATAATTTAGATCCTGTGGTTAAGCTGAATACCCCCTAGAAACTACAATAATCTATTGTAACTCACAATATTGCATTCATTCAATAATCGTAAATTCGTAATTAGCATCAAAGAAATCCATGTAAAAAGGAAGAGCAACACAAAACAACACAACCCTTTTGAAAGTCCAGAAATGAGGTGATGTGGAATCTACCTGAATGAGAGTGATGACATTTGCACAGGGAAAGTTATAAGAAGAAAGAGCTGCTTTGTTGAACATAACCAAAAGCACTGCAAAACAGATGGGCAAAAAAACTAATCACCTCTGATTATTTCAAAAATTAAAAACTCCGCAAAAATCTCGTCCCAATTCTCTTTCTTTTTTCCTTTTGGACGTCTCAAACATAAAATTCCCAATGCCAGAAAACGCAACTTTGTCTTAACACGTTAAGAAATGTTAGCAAAAAGACTCACATCAACCGAACACCAAAATGATGGGGAGATTAAACCAAAATTTTTCCCCAATTGTGCGTTAATCATAAACCCAAACTAAACAAAACAAAGGAAAAAAAAAGCTAGTCTTACAAAAGGAAAACAAATAATGTAGGTCGTCAATGGAAAAAGAGATGAAAAAAGAAAAAGAAAAAAAAAAGTACCAGCGCAAGACATGTAGGAGATGGCAGCGTAAGCTCCTCGCTTGGTCATGGTGGATCCTCTGAAGAGCTTATCATCGCCATCTCTGTGGAAGAGCCTCTCCCTATCTTCGTCCCTCGGAGGATCCGAAATTGGAAGCATCAGGTTTTTGCCGGAGCCCGACGCCTTCAGAGACATCTCTAGAATCTCTCTCTAAAGACTCTGATCGCTGAGCTGAAACGTTATTGCGAAAAGAGACTTAAAGCGACGAAGACGAAGACGAGTCCTAAAAGTGAGCGAGCCCAAACTTGAAGTCGAATATCCCCAACTCGGTGAGCGGGTAACCCGGCCGATTCTCTATCCTTGACTCGGTCTTCACCCCACTTTTGTTTTTATCTTTTATTTAACTTGGACAAAAGGAGCATTATGTAAAGTTTTGGAAATGGGAAGGGCAGAATGGTATTCCGAAGTTCGAATCACAATTTAAGACCCGTTTAATTCGTTAATTTAAGTTGACATGTGACTTTATGTGAAAACTTTTTATGCAGTAAAAAAGTTAGATATAACTATTTCTAAGAGTTTTTACGGTAATAAAATTCGAATCGGTGAAATGAAAGATATCTAAGTTTTTATCACGGCATTTTTTTACAAAAGACTTTTTAAGTCAACTTCTCAATTTTAACGAGTCAATTGAACTGCCCTTAATAAGGAGGTAACTGGTCGGATTCAGTTTATATTAGACCGGCCAACCAGATGGTTACCAAGTTGCCCACAACGGGTAGACTTTTTCTTCAAGCTATAGGCCTATTGGTGTTGGGCTCTGAATTCTCTCATGGAGCAACCCATTTATGGTGTTGGGCTCTAAATGTAGACTAACTGGACTCTTGACTTTTCCAATAGTTGACAAAATATAAAAGGCAATAAAAATAAAAATAAAAAAGCTCTGAGGACAATTTGAAACATATAATCAAACTATAATTCTTAAATTTAACGTTTGAAATTTAAATTTTTTTTGAAAAAAAAATATTGTAATAAAATTAATAATTTAGATATAAATATATGAAACAAAGGGCTCATTCAATTTCTAAAATGACATCATGTATTTTTGTTTTTTTGCTAAAAAAAATTCCTCATTCCCTTCATCATTTTTATGATCGCTATATAAATTTAGCAGCGACGGGAAGTGGTGCAGGGCTACTGGCCCAAATGCAAAATTACTGTGTAAATGTAAGGGAGAAAGAAGAAAATAGGTCAAGACTTGAGATGCATTAAAATTAATAGATCAATAGTTTACATAAGTTACTAAATAGGATAAATTACTGTTTTCGTCCATAACTTGTCCAGTTATGAACCATAACTTGACAAGTTATTGTCTATAATTCACGATTTTTGTCCATAACTTGTCTAGCTATGAACCATAACTTGACAAGTTTATTCATAATTTATCAGGTTATGAACCATAACTTGACAAATTATGGTTTATTAATTTCTATAACTAAAAATTTGCCTATATACTTTCTTAAGCTTTTTATATTGGCCTATTTTCTACTATTTTCCTAAATGTAACAACGATTTGTTTACAGTTTTCTTTTCCTCATCTCCATGCATTTTATCAAACTTCTGTAATTTGTTTTCTGATACTATTATAAAACGAAACAATATCATTTCGCTATACAGCCTATATTCCATCAATCTCTAGATGCGTACGTACTTTGTTAGCTAAAGCTGCATGAAAAATATTGTTTTTTAAGTAAATAAAAAATTGAAAAACAGTAAAATTTTGGCTTGTGTCGTTCCTAACAGTATGCCGATCATAGATAACTAATAAGTGTATTTTTAATTAGGTTAAATTATATTAATAACGGTAATCATTAGCGATCACAAATCATGCTAAATTTTACGAGCCATAATTCAGAAAGATTAATTAGCATGCACAATTATCTTTCATATTCTTGATCCTCTTAATATGTATCTTTTTAAATCTAACACTTTTATTTATCAAAAAAAAAAAATCTTGAACTTTTTAAAGCCTAACTCCCAATGTTTTTGTTTGGAACATTACTCGAGAGAATTTTCATTAATTGAATGACAATTTTTATTTTTAAGTGGAGTGATATAAATAATATTTTTTTACCATTTCAAGTGGTATTTTTAATTTTTTTTCTATTTAAATATTGATTATAGGTAATGTACGATGTTTTTTTTCCTTTATTTTCTTTTTTGATGAGTTATTGGAGGCATATTATACTTTTTCCTTTTTCTGTTAACCAAATTTGGTGTCTAATATCTGACGTTGATGTTCATGTCTCTGTTTCTTCCCTTCTTTCATTGCGTTTACATCTGATCTGCTTTTGTCCTCAATTTGATGATAAATTTAGAATGCTTAATGATGCCTTGTTGAACATGAAAAATTAGAAGAAGATAAGCATAAAACCTTTTTTTTTTTTTTTTTAATATTGACTAGGATTAAGTATGTCATGAAAATGAACAAAACAATATAATTATGTTTTCAGCTCGGTGTCTTATATCCACCCTCCTAGAAAACGACCTTTTTTGCGGCTGGTTCCTAGGAATTAAACGAACTAATGATTAAAGGAATCTAATCATGAACTAAGTTCACATTTACACATAACTATAAACTTTAGTACTTATAATCTAGGAAATAATGCTTTTGAATTAAACACGAAAGAAAACAAACTAATCAAAAGACTACCCCATCTGATCTTCATCATGCTATGATAGGTCTTTTCACTCCGTTAGCTTGTATGTGTGTGTGTGTATATATATATATATATATATATATATACACACATATATATTATGTCTTTTTCAAAGCTCATTATACAATGAGGGAAGCATGTGGATACCTAAGATGCTACATTTTGACACAAGGGAACATGCTTGCTGGGATGAAACTCCAAACAATCAAACAATAGCACCATATGTGTGTATATTATGGCCCCGTTCATTTTACCGATTTGAGTTTTGTTACAATAAAAAGCTCTCAGAAATAGTCACATCTAACTTTTTTGCTACAGTAAAAAGCTCTCACATAAAGTCACATATAAACTCGAATTAAAAACTCGAATCAACGAACTAAACGGACCATATATGTATATTTTCAGGACGGTCTTAACTATAGCTAGGATGCTTACGTCGATCTTATCCGAGAAGACAAGTTTGTGTAAACATGTTGCGCAGAAAGGAAGAAAAGTTACATAAGAAGCCAAACAAATATGGACGATAATAGTTGTCCCAATGGTCTAATCCAAATGTTGGTAACCCTAATGACAAAAAAGTGAAGCTTACCATGTCCCCCCACGCTTACCCTTTTTAAATTTTCATGCACATGTTTATGCACCTAGCTATATAGCAAAGCAAAGTTCAGATTTTCTGCCCTAATAATTCATGAGTGTAACATTGTGAGATGAACGGGACACGAAAATGAAAGTGCCTTGGATAAAGCAGCTTCTTGATCCGGCTTTTAAAAAAATTCTCTACTATTAATTGCGTGAGATATATGCTTTGAGAAAACGACAAAAGAATATGTACATAGGAATAATGCTACATCCACTACTTGACTATGAAGGAGTTGTTCTTTTGCACTTAATAAAGTGGACCAAGTAAAATTCGCATGTAATGAATATAGTTAGGTTATAACTAGAGTACTTTTTCAACACGGGCAAAATAATAACTTACTTAATGATGCATGGTTCGGCTCTATTCGGGAGAGGCTCATCTGTTAGGTATTTAAGTTCAACCATCAAGTCCTTATATATATTTCGGTCCCTCTTTTCATGATTTGGCCATCTAGGTCTAGGTGGATCTCTAACCGTAAAATTTTTAATATGCTTCTGTATTGGTCTGGTCTAGCTAGCTATAAGAGTTGAAGAAAAACTAGTTAAAAATGTCAAACCCCTTGAAGATGCCGCTCATAAAAACAATATATATATATATATATATAAGCATAATTGATTTTCTGGTTAAATATTAATAGCTATGTTAGTCTCTAATTTAGGCATATTTCGTCACTGAACTTTCATTCTTTTATAGTTTTAGTCTCTAATAATAAAATTGACAAACTCTTTCTAAAATTTAGTTTAGATAATCACATTATTATCGCATAATAACAGAAAATTTTACATAAATAGTTACGGTATTTATAAAATATTATAGTTTTTAATATGCTCTAATAGTAATAAAAGAAAATTTTGTATATACGTAATTCCTTCTCTAAAATTTTAAATTGTCACGCGACGAATACATGTTTATCTTTGTTAAATTTCAGGAATCATTCGTTAATATTGCTGTCAGCGATCAAAATTGTTAAAAAGTGAAAGTTTAAAGACTAAATATGCCTAAATTAAAAGTTCAATGACTAAAATGTCACTGTACTTAAAATTCAGAGACTAACAGAGCTATTAACCGTTTTTTTTTTTTTTAAATAATGCAATCATTCTTTTTAAAAGTTACAACTGATAAGAGAGAGACGCAATCAAATCTTAGTTAACGTCATTTAAGAATCCACTCCAAATACTACTTGTCTAAGACCCTCACTTCGATTGGTCCTTTACACGAATCCGTAGCATACCCAACATACGGAATCTCAAGTTTAAATATGTTCTTGCGACTAGACTCCATAGAAAGAACATATACCTATTCCATGTTCCTTGAGGGAGATTTTGATAAATTTTGACTTTTGATTACTTTAACCGATAAAGATAAACCGTAGAATTTTGCATAAATAAAACTTAAGAAAGTATTATGCAGTTGCCAAAAGTAGCGATCAGTATCCAAATTTTGGTAAATTCTTAGTCCCCATAGTGTCACTATACTCACAAAATTAAACCCAAGCCCGTAACCGATTATATTATAAGATTATATGCGTGCATCATGGGTCTAGCTTCCGATCAAATTTCAGCAACTCTAACATTTAAACATAAGGGTGTGGTTTTAATATTTACTTATTAATAGGTATTATTATTTTAATTATAAAATATTAATCTGATTATTGTAATAAATTAAATAATTGACAAAAAAAATTAATGATAATTAATGAAATTAGATTCTTATCATGCTAGGTCATTAAATTTCTATATTTAAATTAATAAAAAAAATTAATAAAATTATATTCTTATCACGCTACGTCACTAAATTTTTATATTTAGAAGTGACTTTTGATGAAAAGTAACCAATAAAAACTCGTTCATATATATACACTTTTAAAGTTTGATTTAAAAGTTAGAAAAGACACCTTATAATAAAATTAATCATATTCAAAGATTCATAACATGATCAGCCCTAACTAAATATAGTGACATCTACTATTCGACCAAGCACCACAAGGGTAACCCCCCCAAAACTCAAAAGAAGCAATTTTACCACGAGTTTTTATTCTCCATATACCCACTTGCCAAAAAAGTTCAAAAATTTAATTATTCAACTTGGTTTTCAAGTATTAGTTACACGAACTAGCTACCTACCTAGCTCCCTCCATATATCATCATGTACTCATCAAAATTGACAAGATTATTCGATTCAGGAATCATGTTCTTTTTTTTTTTATTTCTTTTGGGTTGTGCCATATATATACAGAATCATGATTGGTTCATGGATTTAAAATCATTTTCAATTTATGTGTTTTTTATGAGAGAAAATACTGTAACGAATCACGAATTATGATTCAAATATCATGACACGAATTCACCAACTAAATACAATGATTCATTTGGAAATTGGAACAGGTCATGAACTAGTACTGTATCGTAGTGCCAGCTAAAAAGGACACTGCACATAATTTTGGGTCGACCTGTTCCTCAACACGAGAGTCAATAATCCAGGCAGGATTGACGAGACTGATCGTTGAGTTGGCCTTTTTGAAGATTGTAATTGTTATGCGTGTAACCAGACACACTCTGGGTTCGTGGACTATATGGCTAATTAAACATGTCGTGCCCATTTTGCTGATTTTTTCACGTGGACTTCACAAGGGGCAAAATTAGGCCTAACTAGTATATGTATATATATATACGCACATATATATTATATATATCGTTTTCCTATATATTCCAAACAAAGCTTGATGCCCCGGCAAAATTGAGCCCTACACTCTGTATGCATGAACACACGGCAAGAACAGATACCAAACGTATAATACGTGGTCGGTTGTTTTGTTCTTAGGCATATATCTCTCTCTCTCCCCCCATTATTGGATTGGAATTGTAGAGCTGAACTCCGACAAAGAGAATCCTCGCTATTTTTAACAGAGAAATTTGATGGGGGGGTTTAATTTTTGAGCATAGTAGTATAACTTCTGAAATATTATGATGATATTATTCGTCATGTCAATCGATAAGATCAAAGGGGAATATATGTGTGTTTTGGTAATAATCATAATAATTGGCTAGTACCCGTTATTGATGAAAGTTTGAAAAGATGGAGTTCAATGCATCATTAGATGTTTGAAGCTGTGTTTGCCGACATATTGGACTTGTTTAGGATTTAAACTCATGTACACGAACTACTTATTCTAATAAAAATATATATATACATATATATATATATATGCCACTCGCCGAACTTTATTAGTTATTAATATATAAAAGTCAAGTTTGCAACTACTTCATTACACATTGTTGGACTTGGGGTTATTGGTCCCGTCCATTTCACCGATTCGAGTTTAGATTTTTAGTTTTGCTGCAGTAAAAAGCTCTCAGAAACAGTCACATCTAACCTTTTTGTTACAGTAAAAAACTCTCACATAAAATCACATCTCAACTCAAATTAAAAATTTGAACCGACGAACTAAACGGTTTTTAAGGATCTTAAACTATGTGTGTGTGTGTGTGTGAATGAAAACGTGTGCTATGCACTTGAGTAGTAAATATTTGATTTTAGTAATCGGTAATGATTCGGATCCGGAAAGTAAAATTTATGTATATATATATATATATATATATATACTAATTGGTGGAGACGCTACACAATTGCACAATTAAATTACAACTTTGAAGTTATTTTATGAGATACATGGATATATGATCCCAAGGGGGAAAAAAAAGAAATGGTGAAACATCCTCGATCGTATGAAGTTTTGGATAAACATAATAAGATGATCATCATCATTATTAGTGCTGTTACACACGTCAAAACCATAAGCAATCGTGCGTTCAAAGTAATTTACACATGAAATCAAAACCACAGACCTTAATTACCGTACAGAAATCGCGTTTCCTTAATTATAAGTCGTAAGCACTAATAGCTTGTATTGTAATAAATTGAACAGGCGAGATAATATTCTTGAGAATTTGTTAGTGCACAGGGGACAAGAAGACCATATTGATCAAGGTTGGAAGTAGAAGAAATGATGAATATCAACCTGTTAAATGGAGAATTTGGACTTCTTAAGGATTCGGTCTTAAATCATAAGAGATCAATAGCCTGTTAAATGGGGTGAGTCAATTATTTATTTATTTATATATATTTAAAGGAGCGGAACTCGAATTCATTTTATCATTATGATGCGTAACGATTTTTCACCGGTGAGAGAGAAGAGCCGAGAGCGCAATATTGGGTTAGCGGTCCAAACACGTTGGTGTAACTCTTTACTAAGCTGTCTACGTCAGTGCCACTCTTTTAGCCGACCCAACTACCATGCTGTCCCTCTACTTCCTGTCTTCCACAAGACATCGGTCCTTTTCACCTCTCCACATATATCCCCCTCTCCCCTTATATATATGAGTGTTCAATTATACCTAGTTTAGTATATATATATATATATATGTGACCAAGTTAAGTAACACAAATTAAAAATAACCCCCATTTCACCCTATATTGCCAACTGATCTAGCTAGTCCTGTATATATATACACTGTTTAGTTATATTTCTGTGATCTATAGCTACATATATATATATATATATTTATATATCATGTTATCTATGGAGCTTCAACTTGGTTTGGCCCTTCCGGTTCACAGTCCCATGATCAAAGGTTTTGACATGAATGATCGTAGGTTCGAGCCAGATGATTGTGGTTCGTTTGCAATATCGAAAAGCAAGCGCAGTTTCGAGGGAGCTTTTGGCCGGAAGATCGGAGATGAAGCAGCACCGCATTTCTTGGTGTGGGATGGCCAGCCGAATGAGGAGGATGATAGGAAGGGACATAAGAAGAGAGATTCTCACCCCATCATCAACAAGTGAGTTCAATCGAGTGATTATGTGCCTTTCATGGTATATAAATATAAAACTACTGTATATAACAATTAAGATTACGTATATAGAATTTACACACAATGCGTAACGATTTTTCACCGGTGAGAGAGAAGAGCCGAGAGCGCAATATTGGGTTAGCGGTCCAAACACGTTGGTGTAACTCTTTACTAAGCTGTCTACGTCAGTGCCACTCTTTTAGCCGACCCAACTACCATGCTGTCCCTCTACTTCCTGTCTTCCACAAGACATCGGTCCTTTTCACCTCTCCACATATATCCCCCTCTCCCCTTATATATATGAGTGTTCAATTATACCTAGTTTAGTATATATATATATATATATGTGACCAAGTTAAGTAACACAAATTAAAAATAACCCCCATTTCACCCTATATTGCCAACTGATCTAGCTAGTCCTGTATATATATACACTGTTTAGTTATATTTCTGTGATCTATAGCTACATATATATATATATATATTTATATATCATGTTATCTATGGAGCTTCAACTTGGTTTGGCCCTTCCGGTTCACAGTCCCATGATCAAAGGTTTTGACATGAATGATCGTAGGTTCGAGCCAGATGATTGTGGTTCGTTTGCAATATCGAAAAGCAAGCGCAGTTTCGAGGGAGCTTTTGGCCGGAAGATCGGAGATGAAGCAGCACCGCATTTCTTGGTGTGGGATGGCCAGCCGAATGAGGAGGATGATAGGAAGGGACATAAGAAGAGAGATTCTCACCCCATCATCAACAAGTGAGTTCAATCGAGTGATTATGTGCCTTTCATGGTATATAAATATAAAACTACTGTATATAACAATTAAGATTACGTATATAGAATTTACACACACACACACAATTATGTGTTGTAGGGTTGGTATTAGGTCACCGGAGGATTCTCATTTAAGAAAAAGAAAATTATAGAAACACTTGCTTCATAAAAGCTGTTTAATTTCTCTTAGTATTAAAGCTAGAAGATTCCACACAATCTTGTTTTTTTTTTAATTTATGTCGACATTAATTTGTGTTGTCTTCTAAAAGAAACAAATTGAATGATGAAAAAGTGGGGGGGAAATTAAAGAAGAAGATAAACCTTTTAAGTACTGTTTCTTTTCCTTCTTTAATTTACCAGGAATATACGTATTGTATTATGTTTTTATGGGCAATAATCCTAACATAGTGCTACTAATTAGTATTTCCCTAGTAATGTGGTTTCCTCCCATTAGTACTCCATTTCTTTACGCTTCGCTGGAAAGCCAACCTTTCAAAAATAAAGAATAAAAGAAAAATCCCGAGAGGATATATAAACATTAATTATTTTATGCTTTGCCTTGTTACTTAGTTAAAAAGATCCAATTAATGATATAAAAGGAAAACAAAAAAATCCATACTTAATAGTAAATATATAGAAAACAGTTTCCCAAATTAGGCAAAGTTTATCCCTTTTTTAAGAGGCATAAATCTCCCATTCATAATCTGCTTTTCTTATATTTTAGAGCTTTCCAGCCTTATAATATATTATAATTATCATCATGACGGGTCATCAGTTGCAAACTAACTTTTGGTGACATTACATGATTTTATTGGCAAGTTAATTAATTTGATTAAATAATTAGATCCCTATATTGTGTACACATTTTGATAATATATTTTGAACTTAAAAAAGCAATTACTGATCATGATATATTATAAAACTTTGTCAACTTGGGTAATTAGGAGTGAGAGTGATGAAGAAAGTTACATTGTTGGGTGGCCACCAATTACATCATCGAGAAAAAGGGAGCTTATCCTTCAAAACAACGGTGGACGCGTAGGTCATCATCAGATAATTAAAAAGCGCACTCCATTAATATCAATGGCTAAGAATATCATGATCAGCGGATCAAATTCATCATCACCGTCCATTATTAATAATTCCATGTACGTAAAGGTCAAGATGGAAGGCGTGCCAATAGCAAGGAAGATTGATCTCACCCTCCACAACTCTTATTACTCCCTTAAAAACGCCTTAATTACCATGTTTACCAACTCATGTAAGTTTTTTACTTTTCCATCCACAAATACTAACTTCATCTCATCAAAAAAAAAAAAAAAAAAAATCTTACATAAATTTATGTGTGCAGATGATGGAAAATGTACTGAAGATCGTGGAAGTTACAGACTCACTTATCAAGACAAAGAAGGCGATTGGCTACTCGCAGGAGATGTTCCTTGGAAGTACGTATATATATTCTATATATCTTCTAATTTTTCTTTTTCGTAGTTTAATTATCTTAATATTTTTGGGTATATATCTAAATGGACAGAGAATTAATTAGTGAGGGAAAGAAAAAATATGCTCGTGTTATAAAGTGCATACATTCCGATACAATTACTAATGCCTCGTTCATTTTACCGATTCGAGTTTTGCTATAGTAAAAAACTCTAAAAAACAGTCACATCTAACTTTTTTACTACAGTAAAAAAACTGTCACATAAAGTCACATCTCAATTCGAATTAAAAACTCAAAATAACGAACTAAATGGGCCTAAATTTTTAGTGTGTTTTGTAATTTGTTTTTGTTACTAATGATGATTAATGATATTGGTTTTGCAGAAGCTTCATCAAGTCTGTGCAGCGTCTGGAGATAGCAAGGAATGGCGGTTGATATGGTCGCAATATTATATAGTACTGGTTTTGTCTCGTTTAATTATTATACCAAGCCTTGAGTAAGCAAAGAGTTAATGGTTGTTTTTATGTACTAGTTTAGTCTACATGATTTGAGTAGGGATTTTCTTAATAAGTAATTGTTTGGAAGGAAATATATAGGTATTGAAGTTGGAAAAAAATTAAGAAGAAAAAGTTCAACAAAAAAAAAAAAGCATGGAAAACAAAAGGAGAAGATTATCACGATTAGCTTGTTTGTTAGCTTGTAATATTGTTTGACTACTAAAATGAATATATCTTGTTACCCTTATTCTTAAATGCAAAAACTATCTACCAAAATATTTTAATGATGAACTTACGGTCTCATTAAGCAAAATATTAGAATCTCACATTGGTCGGAGATATTGACATGATTTACTTAATAAGGTGAGGGCAATCCTTCCATAACAAGCCGGTTTTTTTAAGTTGAGTTAGACCCAATATGCTTTGATTTTTATAAAATAATATCATAGCAGACTCAGTTTTATAATGTTGGGTCCCCAATATTGACTTATCGCAACGATTTGGCATGGTCTACGCTGTGCGTGAGGGGACGTATTAGAATCCCGCATTGGCTGGAGATATTGACATAATTCACTTAATAAGGTGAGGACACTCCTCCTCTAACAAGTTAGTTTTACTAAGTTGAGTTCAGTCTAATATCCTTTAATTTTTGTAAAACAGAAACACGACTAATTCCAAAGTTTTGCTTTTCTTCTACACGGTTCTTTCATTTCACACGCGCACTCGCGCTTAACTAATGTGAATTGCCAACCATCAAAAACTAATGTGAATTGCCCCTCAAAAAATAATAATAATAACAAAAACGTCATTTGAATTGTTGGAACCTAGGTTCATGCAACAGATTAGGGAAATTTGGGGTTTTTATTTTACAACAAAACTCAGAAAAAGTTTAAACTCAAATTACAACTTTATTCAAGTTCACGTTATTTTAAATTCCAATTTTATTCAACTTCACTCAACTTTATTCAAGTTACAACTTCAACTCAAGTTATAACTCAAATTCAACTCAAAAACTACACTCAAGTTACACTCCAAAAGAACATGCATACAACACTTATAAAAACACAGAAACGCCAAAACGAAAAAAAAAAAATACGTGGCATATTTTGTGTGTCTGTGTGGGTGGGTGTGTTTTATTTCTTAATTGTAGCTTTTAATCATTAATCTTCCATCCTTTATGCAACACCAACACTATGATTAGTGGCAAAACTTCATGATTAATTCGAGTAACTTCTCTCGATTACTATAATTAAGCTTAAAAAAAAGCGATCGAGCCATCTAGAAATCATATTAATAAATAACTTAGACGATATTTTGAGTATAATATTCTGCTGATAATTTCTCAATTGATTAGTAATTTATTAAACTAATATAAGGGGTTTGCTTAGACTGATTTTGGTGACATTAGAGCAAGAATTAAAGGCCCCAAACTCTTTCCATAGTCCATCAGCTCTATATGTAAGTTTTTGTATTTTTTTTTTTAATCACATCAAAATATCTCAAGAAGAATTCAAAACAGACAAAAGAAAACAAAGGTTGTGTTTGGAGTTATTTTTATTTTTATTTTTCACATTTTTTGAGAAAGAAAAAATGAAAACACGAGAAAAACGGCGTTTGGTACAATTAAAGATAAAAAATAGAAATGAAAACGATTTTTTAATTTAGTGTAAAATGGGAGAGAAATGAAAAACAGCTTTTAGTCGTTTTTCATTTTTTGTTTCCTTTTTCTCCTCTCTCGAGCAGAGAGGGAGGGAGAGAGAGAGAGAGATAAATAAATTTTTTTATACTAAAAATAATTTCTTGATAAAATTAATAAAAATATTTTTAAAAATAATTTATGTCTCAGATTAAAAACGTGTTCATTTTCATTTTCATATAAAAAATAAAATTATTTTAGAACCAGTTTAACGCACCTAAAAATCACGGTTTCTCGTGGTCTCACACACACATATATATTAAAAGCAATATAACGTCTTTTTAATTGAAGATGCGCATTCAAAGAAAGAGAGGACAAAATGTCCCTGTTACTGTTACTGTCAAAGGTCGTTTAGTCTTAACAATCCTTAAAAACATTGTCAGTGCGAACAAAAAAAAA